ACGTTTTTTACGAGAACTGGGTTGGTAGTTCTTCCGTGGTTCCATCCCATTTCAAGTGCTGTTCGACGCTCGGCGTAACCCTCGGAGCACACTCTCCAATAACAGAGCTTGAGGACTATCACAGGGCTTGTCAAGCGAAGCGGAGAGAATACTTACTTCCGGGTGTAATATTCTGTAAAGCAAATGAGCTGCTCCGACCCTCGGTCCTGACGGACTCCAACTTGTGTTTATTAATCAAACAAATAAATAAACACAATGATAATTATGTGTTATTGTTGAGTAGATGGAGAATTGCATAGGGAAAATAACGTATCTATTGTGGTGATTGACATTATTCACCCACGGATCTATGGGTTAGGCCGGGTAGCGTCTATCGAGTTTAGATTTAACCACGCCCACTTCCGCATTACGCAAGGATCGACGTAGCTCTACGTAGACACGGCACACCCGCAAAATCTTAATCTGACAATGAATCTGACAAGCAAAATACCGTCCTTATAAACGCTGCATCATATCATAGACTGTATGCATAATATACAATATCTTTGTCAATATGACTGACGACCACACTTATGCAGTGCTGAGGTAATGCTAATTCATCATTTAATATTAATTCCTGATGGATATAAGAGGGATACATTAGCAAACATCTGTATATATAGCCTATATATAATGTTTCGTTTTTTTGTTTGTCATGTAACATGTTAACGTTTATTTAATATTTTATAGACATTTATAATATGTTATAAATGTCTATTTTAACATTAATATATATATATGTTTATAAATGAATAAATGTGTTTAGGCCTATATATATATAAATAGCATCATTACATAATGCTAATACTTACACCAGCTGAGATGATAAAACACCAATAAACATCTGTGTGTATAAATGAATAAATACATGTGTGAGTACATATAAGTGTGTGTTTATATATATATATGTTTATAAATGAATAAATGTGTGTAGTCCTATATATATATATATATAAAATAGTATCATTAAATAATGCTAATACTTACACCAGCTGAGATGATAAAACACCAGTAAGACAAAAAACAACTATTCCTGCTTTACCGCGACCGCTATGGCTATATCTGCCGAAGATGAAGTCTATGACGCTAAATCTACGTTCTTGCGTAATGCGGAAGTGGGCGTGGTTAAATCTAAACTGGGTTGGAATAACGATAGACGCGGCCGGGTATTGTTCTGCACGGACATTTTAGTGAGCCGGACTTCCTGTCTCCGCCGGTCTTCGCTTGTGTTTTGAGATGCTAAATAAAAGTCTAGCTTGTACCTTTGATACCCCGCCTCCGACTCCCATCTCTCGGCACCACACTATGCCATAATTTTAGATGCGGATTCTGTTAAACTAATACGTTTGCGCTGTGGACCAACACTATGCATTAGTAGATATATGATGGTGTATTCATATCCTCTAATGTAGATATTAACATTTATATTTTAGGTGTATAACCCTATGTATAATGTTGATCTGTGTATATTTAGGTAACATTAAGCTGTCTTTGGCTCTTTTCTGCTGTAACAATGTACATTTCCCCACTGGTGGACTAATAAAGGTATTCTGATTCACTGTTTATTTGTATATATTAATTATTATGTAGTTGTTATTTCTCTGTACATTCTTATAATGTATTATTTGTCTATTCTTTTTATTTCGTTTTTTTTAATACTAATGTGCAATGCCTTTTTAAAATGCTGCTGCTGTAAGAATCTCCCAATGTAGGATTAATTTAAATCTAATCTACTCTATAGGACAAAAGCATCTTTGCTGTAGTGCCAGTTCTACAGGAATGTCTGCATATCCTGTTGAAGCATTCTCATCGTTTTTCCACACCATGTTTTTGCACGGGAATATGATCAGGTCTGAATTATAATGGGCTCAAGCAAGCTGTCATCCTCATCATCCACTGTTTGCCTCTCTGAAAACAAGCTTATCATTGCCCAGAGAGAATATACAGTGGGTGGAAACGTGCAGGGGCCCCTCCTGCTCTTTTTCTCCTCACGGACCCAGACGCTGTGCAGGATCTGCCTCTCTCTGCAGCCCCCTCCCCTGGGCATGAGGCCTCCTGCAGCTGAACAGAGTCAAGATGTCAGAGGGCATAATCAGGGAGGGTGTGCATGTTCCTCCTTTCATGAAACGCACTTATTTGAGCATACTTTCATATTTGCACGTGTGAAACATTACCTGCTTAATAAAGGAGTAGAGCAGTAAAGTGTAACCACCCTGCGACCTGCTCTGAGGCTGCCAGGGTCTGAATAAAGAGCGCTGGCACTGAGAGAAAGTAGAGTGACAGTCACTATTACCAGAGGGAGCCACAACACAAAGCAGAGCGCCGTTTCCTGCAGGCCGGAGGGGAGGGAGGGAGGGGGGGGGGCTTAATGGAAACGCAGGATATGTCAATACCAAGCCAGAAGTCTTGGGTTTAAACAATGTTGTGCAACTTTCAGATTTCAGTTCTGCAACATTTACAGACAAGTCTCCCCGGATGTGTAGAACAAACAGAGCATGAATACTGCAGTTTGATTCTTTGTGGAATGTAAGTGCAGCCTACGCTACAGTGTGAATTAGCTAAATTGCTTCCTAATAAGAGCCAATTACCAGGTGCCATCCGACTCTCACTAACAGTTGAAGCATTGTTTTCTTAATCATTTCAGGAACATAATCCAATGTTATGTTTTGTGGGAAAAGAGGCCTATTTTACGAGAAGGTTAAAGATGTATTTTATTAAAACAAGCAAAAGCGATGTCTTGTATGAGATGAAACAACAAAAAACTGAAATAACCTATTTGCTGGCGCATTTCATTAATGTGCACTATCCCTGCTAAATAAACTAATAAAGTAAATACAATAAAATAAAAATGAGGGAAATTAAACAGATCGATTCTGGTGTCTGAAAATAAATAAATAAATTTCAAGTAAATAGGAGATTTATTTTCATTTCTGAATAATAGACCCTTCACCATTCATAAAATACCCTAAAAGATAAAAAAGTAAAAACACAAGATATATACACAAGAAAATCTCTTTCTGGAGTAAAAACTCCAGAAGAATAGACCCGCAGAAATCTCTGGAGGTCAGTCAGCTGATTTGGACCAACTCTGGGTTTTGGCGCTGGATACATTCAGCTGTATAATGTGAGCCACCTGCGCTGTGTGCAGGGAAACATGACAGATGAAGAGGTGAGCCGCTGACATTAGCATGGAGAGACCGTCCAGAGGATTTATCCGCAGAAACCGGAGAGCTGCTCGGTTAGTTTAAGCCTCTTTCCTGTTTGACTTCCACATTATAGGAACTGTGAGAGCGTACACAGTTGATTCGATTAAACATCAAGCGGATAGATTTCGCCAAGTCCGACGCATTTGTGCGTAAATCGCTCTCCAAAGAGCACACACTCCACTGAGGAGGGAAACATGTTTACTGTAAATGGATGGAAAGGCCTGCAAATAATGGCTGGACTATCGCAAACTTCATATATATTTTTTATTATTATTTTTTTACAGTATTTGATTCGATATGTTTTATTGGCTCGCATTGCTCAACATGTTTTACTTTAATACACGCCCTCAATCTTTATATTTATTTGAGAAATTAAAATTTTTAGGGAATAATATGACATGTAAAGCAATATTCATGGATGTGCACTGTGCCTGCTAAATTAAAAATTAAAATAAAAAAAATTAAATTAAATAAATAAATGAATGAATGAGTGAATAAATGAATAAATAAATGAATGAATACAAAAATAAATAAAAAGATAATCAGGCCAATTGAATAAATAATGCCTGGTGTCCAATCAAAGGGTATTTGATTGAAAAAAACATCTTGCAAGTGAGAAATCATATTACATAATAATAGTAATAACAACAACAACAACAACAACAACAACAATAATAATAATAATAATTAATACAATATTTCTAAGATATTAAAAATCTTAATTTAGAACTGTTGGTAGTTACACAACCCATAATTAATTATTAGATTAATAGTGGTTTCGCTCATTAAAATAGACAAAGACATCACTGGCTCTGACTGTAGGTAAATATATATAAAGATCTGACACATCCCGCAGCTCCAATCTGTGTCTCAATCAGACACATGAAACCCTGGCTGCATGCTTATTAGCGGACCAGGACGCGCGCTATGGCTCCCCCTCCGCCCTGAAAGCCCCACCCCTTCTACTCCCAAACCTATTTAGCATCTGAAACCGGGATGAAGTTTCCAAAAACTTTTAAGGAAAAAAGTTCATGCGTGAGGAAAGCGTGCCAACATCCAGTTTGAAAGCAGTTTTTCTTCCACAGCGAGAGGTGCAAAGAGCGAGAATATCATCCTCTCGTCTTAACGGATATACATTTTCTTTAACACGGCTTCAAAGGTGGACGGCGTGTTTTCTGCTCTATCCCTGCATTTCTTCAAGAGAGAAATGGAAGAGGGCTCCAGTTCTCCGGTCTCCCCTGTGGATAGTCTGGTGACCAGCGAGGAGGAGCTGGACAGACAGCAGAAGAGCTTCCCGGCGAAGAAGAGACACAGCAAGAAGGGCAGCGAGGACAGTAGCGGCAGCAGCCCGGGCCCCGTGAAGCGGGTCAAGAAGGCAAGTCCGGACAGCAACCAGTCCTTCGAGGATCTGCAGAACCAGAGGTGCCTGGCCAACGTCCGGGAGAGGCAGCGAACTCAGTCTCTGAACGGGGCCTTTTCGTCTTTGCGTAAAATCATCCCCACGCTGCCCTCGGACAAGCTGAGCAAGATCCAGACGCTGAAGCTGGCCTCCAGGTACATCGACTTCCTCTGTCAGGTGCTGCAGAGCGACGAGATGGACCAGAAGATGTCCAGCTGCAGCTACGTCGCGCACGAAAGACTCAGTTACGCGTTCTCCGTGTGGAGGATGGAGGGAGCCTGGTCTATGTCAGCATCTCACTAGCAGCCGGAGGGGCTTCACTTACACTGCCAAAAGGGTGGGTACCACAACCTGGAGCAAAGATGGTCTCATATTAATATTACATATCAATAGCTTTAGAATGAGCAGACTTTGAAAGTGCCAAAAATAAGGAGAGTCCTAAGAAAAATATTGGAATAAATATTAAATAATTCTTGAAAGGTATAATGTGGACTAGCACAATTGAATATGAGCGAGACTTCAAGATTGTTATCTAATGAAAGGGAATTTTTCCATCCATAAATACCTAAAACGTTCGTGCGCAACACCTGTGCGCCAAAACTTCAAATCCACATGTCCAAAAGCTCGCCTGTGCTGCGCGCGCTTGTTATGTGAGTGACAGATTTCACACGGAGGCCTCAGCATCCCCAGCGCCTCACTCTGAGTCCTAATCCGGATGCTGCTGTGTGCGCGAGGCCTGCTGGGTGACCACCGGAAAACAGACCCATCAGTTCAACGTGGATAGATTCAAGTTAAACCCAAAAATATAGTTATAATTTACATGCAGTTAATAGAGTAACATTTGAATACACTCAAGTATGAGAACAAAGGAGTAGGATAGGGGAAGTATCAGGATTAATACAAATAGTTTTGGTTTTACACATTTATAATAAGCCTTGCTGACCAAAAAACACGTTCTATTTTCTGAGCAGAAACGCATTAAATCAGCCAGTTGGGACGTTTGCACTTAATCCCATACTCAATCCCTTTTAACAGAATTTCATAATGAGTGGGGTAAAAGGAAAAAAAACACCGAAACGCAGCTGTAGGGCCACCACGGGTAATTTATATCCACAATAGAGTGCTTTCCTGCGCGCAGACCGCAGGAATGGGCAGCTCGGCTGGACATGCAACTTCAAGCCAGTGCAAAACAATAAAAAACAGAATCCAGCAATAACAGGCAGGGCTCAGTGCACAATATTTTGCAGATTTGCAGCCTGGTTTGATAATGTCGTGAGAGCAGTGGTGCAGCAGGAACTTTGACAGCTGAGAGGACACTTAGGTTGCTGATTTGATTGAAATTAACGTAAAAAAGAAAAACAAAATCAAAGTCAAGCAGCCAGCAATAATATCCTATTATAACACGACTTTATACATTCTCAGGAAGTTGTCTTTTATAGGTTAGCTTAGGTTTATTATATCCAAATATGATTTATTTGACGCAACGATGGCTCTTTCAAAATAAAAGCACAGGTATTGTAATGTAGCCTATAAGGCTTTTCATTTAAAGATCTAAATTATAACATCATGACATGTTTCATTTAGTCAATTCTAACGAAATTATCTTTTCAAAGTCATGACTTTATTACATTAATTAATCTATTAGACACAGCTAGTTTTTTCAAAAACAATGGCCGAGGAAGTATAATTAAGCTATTTATTTTAAGATCTATATAAAAACATCATGACGTGTTTCATCTTATCATTTCTCGACAAATTGTCTTTTTGTGTCAGTTTCATTCGTTTGACTTCAAATGGCTCTTTCAAAGTAAAGGTATTGCGATTCAATTGTATTTTTTTAAAGATCTAAGTTATAACATCATGACATGTTTCATTCAGTCAATTCTCAGGAAATTGTAAATTTGAGTTATTTACTAATTTATTTGATGCAGCAATGGCAGTTTCAACACAAAGGCATATTTGTTATTTAAAGCTTCTTGGTAAGAATCAAGCTTCCCAGGGAAATGGCACACAGTAGGTGACACCAAACAACACGATGGGTTAGAATAAGCAGGGGCAGGGTTTGTTTGGTTCTCATGGGCTGACATGTAGTTAGTAGACTGCCATCAGAGAGGCTTTGTTGTCTTATAAATTAACCCCGGAGCCGTGGGGGGGACCCATAAGCTTCATTACAGTGATTCCTGTAAGCACAGTACATTTGAGGGTCTTTTTTTTGGGTTTAATTGACCTCTGTGGAATGTAAAAGAAAATAACAAAGCATGGAGACGTGTAGTTGAGCCCATTATAAAAGACTTAGGTTGGTTTCTTCTCAAAATATGTGGCATAAACAGAAATGAAACCCTCTAGGAATAGCCTACGTATTTTTGATAGTATTGCCTGGATTAGAATAGGAAAAAAGTATTAAAATGATCTTATTCATAAATATGAAAAAAGGCCTGTAAATAGCATTTACCAATTTGGCTCTTGGATTAATGTTGCTCCGAGGAATTAGATTTTATTGCTTTAGGACTGTCCGCTAATCCACAGCGAAATGAAAACGCGTTCATTTACTCAGGTGTTTCCAACTGAAAGCCAGATAAACTGTGGTTTTCTTTATTTCACTGCAGCTGTACTTCATTCAAATATAAAATGTTCCTGCTTTTCTCTCGCCATATGGTTCTACTCAGCTCGGTGGCTAATAATTGATTCATTAATGACTTCCCACATGCTAAACGAGCCAGTGCAGCTCTAAAAAAACACCAGATTTAGACATAAACACAAATAAATAATTGCGTAAATCTAGTTGGTTTCGATTTATATTTTCCATTGTAATAATTACTTGTGTCTCTTTCTCCATCACAGACTGTTTACTTCTGTATGAAGACTAAAGGGATTATTGAAGAACTCATGGACCTCAAAGGCACGGCCGAGAGACGTAATGTGACCCACAACTACAAACCCTGTGCGCAGTGTGTGTGTGTGTGTGTGTGTGTGTGTGTGTGTGTGTGTGTGTGTGTGTGTGTGTGTGTGTGTGTGTGTGTGCGCATCCATCACACCGCTGTTGACTGTCTGGAGCTGTTTGTGGCAGAAAGAGATCGGGGGGCAATGAGATGTTACAGCGCATATCTCGGCCTGCATTTCAACAGAAGCCACCATGTAACCGTGTTTCTAGAAGGATATATATATATATTTTTTTTTGTCAAAGACTTTAAGCCAAATTATAAAAAATATATAAATGCATAATTGTACATACCTGTGTAAGTACGCCTATAGCCTGTTAAGGGACCAATGCAATTTTTAGAGTCTTTTGCTGCATGGATTTATTTTATCGACTTTCTTCAGCAAAACTCTGAACTCCGTCCAATGTACATTATTGTTTTTGCTTATTTATTAAAATACATATTTTTGAACGAAATATGGTGGATTTGTTTATATTACATTAAGTTAGAACAATATAGCATGTAATTCGGCTGATCAATTGTGATATTTCAGTGTATTTCTGCACGTTGCCGGTCAATTTCCATACAAGTCGATAGTGAAAAAGATCGATTATTTCGTCCAACTGAAAAAATGACTTTGCATACAGGACATTATTTTGAAAGGAAAGATATGATGTAAAAAAAATTCTATTCCAAGGGGTTGCTAAATTAGGAGAATAATTACCAACAACACATTTTTGTCACTTCTGGGTGTGGGAACGTTACCCTTTTTTCCCCTTTCCTCTTTGTATGGAAGGAAAATACCGACGAAAAAAAAGAGAAAAGAACGACCATAAAAAAATACAGCTTCATTAAAAGTGGAGGAAATTCGAGCCAGTTTCAAGCTCAGCCATATAAACGGCGTGTCCGCTTAAATAACGAGTAATCATTTCAAATGGCGATGGCTTTAACGAGCAGGGAGCCCCAGCAGCCCAGATAAGGACAATAACTCTCAGCTCTAAAACAGGCAGGAAACGGTGGACTGAAGAAATTCCTTTGAATCTGTCCCGCTCACTCTTAAAACATTACAATTGTTTACATCTTGCTTTCCCAGACGTGGTTAGATGCAATCTGAAGGCTGAAAGGAGGTCATTGTTAGCGCGGGGCTGCTAAATGCTAGGCTGACTCTGTTGCTTTTTCAGCTCAATCTCTGCTCTCAATAGCTTAATCATTTTATCACCAGCAAAGCAAACATGGCCCTTTCACTTTAACTGGAGGGGATCTACTAGCTAACAGGCTTGTAATACAATTCACAATTGTACCTCTTAAATTATAAAATTATAAATATAAAATTGTAAAATTATAATATTTACTTATGAGATAGAGTAGGCCTACAAGCAAGTATGAATGGTAATACGTGAGTAAAGTCATTTTAAAAATGAAAGCTTACATTTACTTTGTTACTTTCCACCGTTGGGAAAATATTTCAAATGAAAAATATTCAGGAGATAATAAAAGCCAAATAGCACACTATTGTTTTCTCCAAGTGTCAATGTGTGTAGGAAAATGATGGCTGTGATTTCCTCAAGGTCAGCGAGGTTTGAAGGGAAAGACCTGCAGCTGATGCACTAAAGCCGCAATATACACTTATTTATCAGGGTCAACACACACTCTGTGCTGCATAGGTATGACCGTTTTATAGACTTTCTTATGCCTTCTTCCTGTTAAAATTCTCTGAAGTGGTTAATCAGTGATGATCTGAAAGGAAGTCATGCATTCTATCCTTTTATTTAACTTGGTGGTCATCAGCTATGCCCATTTTAAGGGCATAGGAGGCCTTAAAAAAAAAGTATAATATGTAAAAAATAGATATATATATATATATATATATAAAGAAATCTAAACATTTGAAAATCATCCAATATATAGGAAATGTTCTCTTTACACGTTTACAGTCTAAGTATAATTTACTTGATGCAGCGATGGCTCTTTCAAAATAAGAGCACAGGTATTGTAACATAAGGCTATATATTTTTGAAAGTATAATATCTGAAAGGAAATCAGAAAAAGCTAAATGTGAAAACATATTCACTCACAGGAAGGTTTATTTCCTCTAAAATAAAATGTAGATATAGATTATTTGAAGGTGCTTTGTTATATGCTAAAATTATAATAATCATGATATCACTATCAAAATGACCAAAAAGAATGCATGCACTTTTTCCTGATCTTTGCACTTCTTTACTCTAACCTCACACTGATCCAGCCCTTACATCACCTAACATTGAATAAAGTTGAAGACTATTTCAACATTTTCTGACCCCCTGTGTCCCCTATCTTTTATCACACAGCGTCACGCCCATGTTCAAGGGTCATGATTTTTTTAATTGAGTGATTTATGTGTATGAGTGATTTATGTGTATGTGTGATCTCTGTCACTAATGCTGATCCTGCTGCTTCATGTGTGTCAAGGTCCTCCCTGCCTGCGTTACAGTGACAAACCCATAACGCTGGGTAAGTTCACTCATTTCAGTAGAATCAGATGTGTTTTCCTATAGTCACTGTCTGAGTAATAAGAGGGTGTATTTGTCATGATCATTGGCCCGGTGGTCCTGGATGCTGTTGCTCAGTCCTCCTCCCCGGGCCGGCTGATCCATAGGAGCCCTGTTTGATACCTGCTCATTATCCCGGGCCCTCACAGCTGAGCGGCACAGAATCACCCGGGGCCACTGCTCCAGCGGTGCGAGGGATCCAGATGTTTCCCGTAAAATCAGACGGAAAAAGCTACAAAACTTTAATTTGCAGTAAAAAGGGAATAAAGTAAAGGTTTACACTCAAACACTATTCTGTGTTCGTCTGGTTCAGTATAAAAAATAGAAATCTGAAGGTTAGGCTTATACCACGGTGTGACTGCACTTCCTGTGTGTGTGTGTGTGTGTGTGTGTGTGTGTGTGTGTGTGTGTGTGTGTGTGTGTGTGTGTGTGTGTGTGTGTGTGTGTGTGTGTGTGTCATATGTGTGTCTGTGTCATAGTGGCATCTCAAATATTGACCTTGTTCTTTATTTCTGTCATTGTGTGTTAGTAGAATGGATCAAATAAGGTGTGTTTTAATGATAACTATTATTAAATTAAACTATAGTAGTTATTATTGGCCATGAAAAGAGAAATCTTCATGTACATCCTATTTATTTTAAAATAAGTTGTTAACTTCTTGACAATGTGGACTTTTAATTATTTTACACATGGCATATTCCACATTTTCTCAAATGATATTATGTTTGTGCTAATCTTAATTAAGGTGACTAGGTTTATGCGTTTTCAAATCCTTATTTGACGTTTAACATGCAGAAAGAGAGGCTGAATGCACGTATAGAGAACGTGATTTCAAGAGAATCCTCTTAATTGCTGTATGCAGTGAACATGTATGAATTAGCTTTGGTGTGTACATATTGACAGATACACCACGAGAGCGATTTGCTAACGGATCAAGCCTCATGCAGGCAGTGAGGGTCCGTCAGAGTTCAGAGGAACCTGCAGAGCCCGGGTGAAAGGAGACAGCAGAGGTTCTGGTCTTTTCCTCCAGGTCCACTCTGACTTTGCTTTTTTTCTATCATATATTCAGAGTTCCTAAGACTCTGATCCTGCTCAGAAGCCCCCCCCCCCCCCCATCAGGGTGCTTTTTTCCTCTTCAAGATGTAATGCTTACATGTATGTATCTTTGTGCCACTAAGAAACTAGTGAAACTTTAATCCGATGTTGTTGCCATGCGGACAGTCACAGCTGTCATGTGGTTTTGGTTGTGGAAACAGTTTTTTCTCATGTCTTGTAATTTAATCTGCTGTCCCAAAGTAAACAATACAAGTTAATGCAGGGCATTATGCAACACCCTTCACAAAAAAGTCTCAGTGCAAAGACTCAAGGGAAGTTGTCCTGTGTGCAGCACACTGGAACTGAAATGCATCCTGCATCCGTCTGCATGATCCAGGAAAACAGGTACGCTCTATGTAAAGACCTTTCAAAATAAAAGCCTGTCATACTAACACTAAGACTCCTGTAATGCAGAGGCATCAAGACTGTTAGACATTCATGTTTGTGCAGATGCTTCAGTTTAAATCCTCTGAGGGGTATTGTGTGTAATTAAGGTGTCTTCCATGACAAACTTGCCATGCTGCCGTTCCAATTGATATTTGGGTTTGATATTAAGGCATAAATAATGAATAATTATAATAAAAAATATGGACTTACACTCAATACTTAATGCTATTAGGCCTGCAATGTGAACACAACATTGAATAATATGTACAGGAATGGGTCAGTTTCTGTGAGACACTTGGCTCTAAACCTTGAAGAAGGAATTGTCTTTTGTCTATCTGGTCTCATCTGAAAAACACACTTTAACACAAAGGTGTAGACCAACTGCTGTGGACGATATTATATAAATGGCTTTATTCTCTGTTTCCTGAATAAATCACCATCCTCCCTGTCTTCCTCCTCTGACATTATCTGCTGCTTTTTACAGTAAATTGGCTAAGAAGGGTACAAACTGAAGCCATGTCAGCGCTGATTATTACATCCAAGTGTCCACAAAGATGGAAAATGTCTAACTTTAGCGTCGGTGATGCTAGCCAAATGATAATTACAGTTTGTGAAGCAGTTCAGAGAATGGGTGAGCGGGAAGATGTCATCTCAGCAGGAACAGTTTTTGAGGCATTACAGAGAAGAATAAACAAATACACAAACAAAACACATAAACAGTAATCGATGGTCATTAATATTCCTGGTGCAAGGTGAGTGAGTCACTGCTCTCACATCTGCATCACCAGGAGAGCGGTTTTATGATAACATCCTCCTGGTGGGTCATTGGTATAAAACCAACACACGCATGTATCCGGCTTAATCAATAACGGTTCACACTTTTTAACAAATAGATATCACTATGAGACTCCCAAAGTTCATATTAAGACAGAAATGTGTTGAAGCAGTTTTCCGGAATGTTATGTTTGAAAATGATGAGGTATCTTATTGAGTATGTACTCATTTGTACTAATAAGTGTTTCCTAAACACAAATCTAAACAGGTTTAAAATTCTTGTTCCATTTTTGTGACAAATTACAGTCAAAGGTTTTTACAGAGGTGATTTTAGATATCTATTTGGTTATTTACATTATATTGAAATGTATTAGTTTAGGATAAACCCCTTGAAATGAACCATCTCGTTTTCAAGTGGGTCCTACATCTCAAACATAGGTGTAAAAAAAAGAATAATGTCAAGTTTTTAGGAATAAAAAGTTCAGAAATAAGGCCATTAATGATATGCAAGTGCTACGATGTAAGTGGAGATTTTAAAACTCGAAGAAAATGTTTTGAGAAAATACTGTAAAATGATATCCATTGTGCAAACGGCAGGTGATTAGGGTTAACATTTTACTCAGACATTTTTATGAAACATACTGAGTTGATAATTTACATCATGACAACTTTGTATTACAAG